TTTTCTGAAAGCGAGCGTTCCCCTCCGGGGTCCTGGAACTGCCGCGTTCTCGTTCGTGCTAATGGGCATCTTTTAAAATATAAATAGCCATAGTTGAGGAGGCTGGGGGCTGGGGGGAGCGAGCATCCGCGTGGTCCAGGCTGACTGCGGTGCCTGGTTTGAAGCGTTCATTTGGAAATCCCTCCCGTTTGCAGTTTTGCAACGAGCCTCCCTGAAATCAGGGCTCCTTGCCTCCGCATAATGATGAACTGGTCGATATCTACATATATCTCATGCCTTTGCTCTCACAAAGAAGAGAAGCTGCAGAAAGTGAGTCTGTTCCAAGTGAACCCAGCCAGCAAGAGTTACAGAACTGGAAGTTGGGTTTTTCCCCCTCCCTTGCAAAGAAGGAGGTTACCCTGAGGTCAGTCTAGAATACGGTTGCCTTTTTTTGCTTAAGCAGTGAAAATTGGCCAGGCCAAAGAAAGGAATGGAAGGAAGACCGGGACAGTTACTCAAATTTAAACCATTCAACTGGTTTGAATAACAAGCATGCATACTAAATGTTCTTAAAAAAATTTTTTCAGTTACATGGACTGGAATCATTTAAGGAGGGTGGGGTGTCTCTCCCCCAGTGCATCAAAGCATCCCCAAAGCAACACTTGATTTTTAAAACTTTTGAATAACAAGCATGCATACTAAATGTTCTTAAAAAAATTTTTTCAGTTACATGGACTGGAATCATTTAAGGAGGGTGGGGTGTCTCTCCCCCAGTGCATCAAAGCATCCCCAAAGCAACACTTGATTTTTAAAACTGAGAAATGTAAAGCGGGAGGAAACTTGGGAAAACAATATCGTGGTGTGGTCGAGGGAGTGAAAGAGGGCTCAGAAAGCAGATATTTTATTTAGAGAAATCATGGTAGAATAGAAGGAAGAGGAGAGAGTTAACAGAGGGCAGGTAGGCTGGACACGTTCTTGGGGGTAGGAATAATTTACCCCAGGTATTCCAAAATTAGACTTCAGACTATAAAGAAGCACATGGCATATGCCAGTGTTGTCCAAACTTGGCCACTTTAAGATGAGTGGACTTCAACTCCCA